TTATTTAAAATATTAAAAAGCAAATATTATATTATTTATTACTTATTTTTTTTATTTTTTAAAATCCATAATATTATATATATCAATTAATTTAATAATATAACTTATACTATATTGTTAGTCCAAATTCTCATACCCAATTTTTGTCTGCCCTATCATTACTCTTTTATTAACCAATAACCAGTATTTGCTTACTTACTAATCCAAATCCTTTTTCACATAAAAAAATGCTTTTTTAAGCTTTTACGTAAGGATAATTATACATTCATATTGTATACCCACACAACTAGTCACACATTGCCATCCCCTTATTAAAATACATTTTCTACTGTGAGTTAGCCTATCCCTCGCTTTTCCAATATTGTGTCCCTAATGCTAAAATCCCTTCCACATTCAATTCAGATCTAGGGAGAAATAGGTTTAAGTTTTGGGGATTTTCAGATTTGGGTTTTGAGGGGAAGAGCTAGCAATTAAACAAAATAGTAGAAAGGGATGAAATTAAGTAGAATTTGATTGAAGAACAAAAAGAGGAAGTTCTCTCCACATTCATTTTAGATCTGGAGAGAAAGAGACATAGGTTTTAGGGATTTTGATCTAGGTTTTGAGAAGGAGAGCCGGGACCAAAACAAAATGGCAAAAAGGGGTTCTTTGAATTCGAAGGGTCTAGATCTAGGGTGGTTTCAAGTGGCTATCTTTCTTGTATCTCTCAAGTGCTTTCTCCTCAATTTTGAGTTATAAAAAAGGAAGAAGAAGGGGAAGGAGGTCATGGGTTTGTTGGTGCTAATTAAATGCACTTGTCATGTATGATTTTCAATAGCTTCATAATTGTTCATTATGAATTTTGTGGTTTGATAGTTGAAATTGTAATTAAAGTTAATGGAGGGCCAATTTAACCTCAGGATTCCTCCATCTCAACTAAAATGGAATATGGATAGCCTTGGCAAATTTTTTGATTTTATTTCGCTTTTTTTTTTTTCTTGTGAGTCGCTAGAAATGTCTTTTTGATTCTTAGTGAGTTGCTGGAAATGTCTAACTAGTGCTACAGAGAATATGAATTGTTGGCAGCATCAGGCAACGTCCAACACTTTTTTTGGTCGGATGTTTGCTTCTTACATGAATGGTAACAAGATTAAGAAACCCAATAGTCTCTAAAGTTGAAGAAGATGGAAAAGTTTAGCGACACAAAATTATTGGATGTTTGCTTCTTACATGAATGATAGCAAGATTAAGCCTTTCTTCAACTAATTCCAAACGATAAAATATTTATATTTTATTCAATATGTAACAGAAGGTGATGGACGGCGATGTGCGCCAACCATGATCCTTTACGTAAATATGAGAAAAAATATTTTGTACTATTAGAACTATCTCAAACCAAACAAAACTCATCATTGGAAGAGGAGAATCTTCTAATTATATGGTCTTTTTTATACTCTTTATTTATTTTTAATGGACTTAATTTAATTTTTAACTTTTTAAATATAAATTTTAAATAAAAATTTTACAATTTATATAT